GGGGTTATGAATAGTATGATATAGCATTTGCGATCAACAAGATGTTGGTTCTGAATACGACCCTGGCCAATTCTTGGGGATTTTCAATATCACTTGAGTAGGGCATTTCAATGTGTACATCCACTCTATCTTGGATTTGAATTTGCTTTAGAATAATATGACAAATTCTCAACAGGGAATCTTTACAAACTTTAGTAATGGTACTGGAATGGTGTCATGCAGAGATGGGAGGTAAAACGCAATGAGTACCTGAGACGTATTTTCTAAAAACTTGGTAGAACTTCCCAGCAGCAAAAAGACGTGCCGTAACCATGGACTGTAAGAAGGATTCGATCATGGATGTATTCAGAAGAAGCCATAAGAAAGGTTATTGGGAGTTGGTGTAAAACGGATCAAAAATGGCTCTAAGTAATGAATAATCACATCATGTCATTCGAACATACAGTAAAACTCAAAATTTCTATAATAATAATTTCCATATGGAAAAAAAAGGCAATGAACATTGATAAAATATGGCTACCATTTCCTTAAAGGTACACAAATAAGGTTAGGTAATCCAATTGAGAGAAACTAAGCCACTAATAATAATAATAAACCAAAGTCAAATTCTAGCATCGTAGGCAGTGTCGGGTTAAGCCAGCGCGGGGTCTGTAGCAAATTTTGTCAAGAGGCCCTTGCTATAGGTTCTCAAGGGTATTAAATAGTCTGTATCAAATTATGTCAAGGGGCCCTTGCTATAGGTTCTCAAGGGTATTAAATAAAACAAAACCATTACAAATAAACTTTTCTGGATTAAATATGACTAAATTCAGAGATGACACTTTCATATATCGACTTCTTTGGGCGAATCATGTTATATATTCATCAAAGTGATATGATTAGAACGTTCTTGGCCCATCGTGTTTCAATTTAACGTTGAAAAAGAACGTTCGCCACTGCAGTTAGTGATTATGAGAGACAAGTAAATACGGAAGGCAATTTCTACGTTTGAGAAACATAATTCTAAGGAGTTATTTGATGAAAGTTTATAAAANATAAATTATTAATGTCAGATAAGATTTAACGTGATGAAATCTAGTTATAAATTTTCAGGTGGCAGTGAAGCATAGTCTAGCAAAATATTTTTACACTCTTATCTGAATTGATATTTTTTACGGTCAGACAGGTGTTGGACCGTGGGGCCCTTCGAGTCTCGGGGCCCTTCGAGTCGCGGGGCTCGTAGCATTTGCTACTCTTGCTACGCTGCTAATACGGCACTGATAGTAGGTAATGCATTTGAAACAAAGAGAATAGCAACTCGAGCACCAACTCGTGCATTTCGACCGTTACTACATCACCTTTAATGGTAGACGAAACGTCACTAATAAGAACTTACAGAACACTGCCAAAAAAAAACTAGAAAATAGCATTCACACATGGGAATCTTGATTAAATTAAAAGAGGTATATTTTTAGGAGAGTTCAGTTTTTGGTAAAAAAGTTTCTTAATCTCCAGGAAGAGAGCAACTGAATTCAAAATAAGTTTCTCACAAAGATGTGAAGATTATGCACTGAAGTTACTTTCAGATACAAACTTGCCTTTTTCCCAATGAATAATCTCTCCTAAAAATATACCCCTTTCAAAATGAATGTGCCATTTTGTGTCTTCAATAAATACATTTTTAACACATAAATTTAAAACTAAATTTTTTCCATACATACCTGGTTTATAATAGATACCAGCATGTATAACACCACTATTGTGTCCACTTTGGTGAACGGCTAGTTTATTTTCCTTTTCAACTAATGCCATTCTGAGCTTGGGATTCCGCTCCTTCATTTCTCGGGCAGTGGCTACCCCTACTATGCCACCTCCAACTACAACCACATCGTAATTTGTGCTGAAAAAAAATTATTATGGGTTAAACAAACATAATTTTTTATTTGCATTCACTATTTTTTGATAATACATATAATACAAAAGTTATTTCACATTAAAACGGAATGCATATGATAATATGACTAGCCAACTTCTCTATACCAGATGCCACCAGAAAACATTACGATTTGATCACTGTCGATGCTTATAAGGTACTCCAAGGCAATACTCATTTTTGTTCTGCACTTTCCTCTCTCGCACCCTGGAAAATTTACACATTTCCATCCATATTGAATAAGTACTGAACTAAAATTCCATAATAGTAGGTGAAATATTGCATTAAAACTAAAACATTGTTTTCAGGTTTCCTACATTTTCTATTTCATTTATACACACGCACCTAAATGGTCATAAAATAACAGAAAACGTGTTTTATTCATTAACGAATTTAGCAATTGAATAGAACTGGCCGATACTTGATGAAAATCCATATTAAAANTTTACAGCTGCGGTAGACATTATGAAAGACATTGAAGCAACGGACGAAATTCTCTAGTTGTTCTTTGAGCAGATACTATGTTCTAAAATCATTATACGATCCCTATATTTCTGAAGTTGAATATAGAATGATGAAAATAATGTTTGTCTAATTTCTACCAAGTTACGACTAGTTTCGGTTTAATAGACCATTTCCAAGTAACTAATACATCAAGTCAAGACAAGTAGGTACTCAATGAGTACTTGTCTTGACTTGATCTATTGGTTACTTAGACAAAAGTTATTTTCTTTATTCTATATTTAATATAAATTTCTACAAAATAAATAGGTCATCAATCGAACAAGCTACTTTTCAAGTACCTACATTTTAAGATAAAATTTTCTGATGATTAGTACGTTAGTAAAATATACATTTATCTCTATATCCCTGAAGATGAGTAGAATGAGAAGAGAAGTAGCGTTTATTGTCTTTCACACTCATCCTTCTATAACAGTTCGCCTTATGAGAAGACGCTCTGCATTTTATTTTCAATTTTTAATTTGTCTAAATAGGGAAAATTGAAGTTCATGGGAAATCGTGAAATGTTGGAAGATTTCCAAAAAAAAACGATATCTTACTGAACGGATGTATATATGATTTGTACGTGCTAAAGGCATATTTCTTAACCACAAGATACAGTGGGTTCATTCATAGTTACTTTGTAAGGGCCAGACGAAAAAACTCATTATTATTGCTAGCTGAAGACACTTTGTTTATGAAACACAGTTGGGTTTTTTGAAAAGTAAGCGATAAGGTGGGAACGGTATGCTGAAAACAAATTAAAGATGGCCGAAATACTTAACGAATCACGAAGCGACCGAAAGACCTAAGTGATAGAATTGAATTTTCTGATTGGATGTATGGGCCGTAACTTGCCATTTAATTTTAAGAAGGGAAATATCCGCTGACTTAGGGAAAAATGGAATGCGGGAGAGTGGGCTGACGGGAAGTCGAGAGGTGTCTGTCGGTGGTTTTGGGTCGTTCGAAAGGTCGATTTGAGTGCAAAGAATTAGGGGGTTTTGATTTAGGGAAGTCGAGAGGTGTCCGTCGATGATTTTGGGTCGTCGAAAGGGCAAGTTGACAAAAACTAATGGGAGGAGAATTTTTTTGTGGAGAGATAAAGTCGGAAAACTAATAAATTATTCGAAAGAAAGGGGCAAACGAGAGTTCAATCGCGAGTTATCCGAGTATAGTGTGGTATTCGAGGTACTTTTGGGAGTTTGGGGAAAAACTGGGTTTTTCTTTCTTTTCCTTTTTGATTGCCAGTTTGACTGAGTGAAATTTAGTTTTGGTGTCTTGTGTTAAATTCAGTAAAACATAAAAGGATTAGCCGCTACCTACAGTTAAACGGAGGGAGAGAGCTATTTGTAAGAAAGTTTTAGGGTTTTTTCGTCTGGTGGCTAACCATATACTTTTATTGAAATACTGTGGGTGAACATTCATTCAAATAGCTTGTATCATATAGAGTTGTCGAATAAAAGGCATGTTTATGAATATTCAATCGCATGCCGGTTGAGCGTTCTCTTATGGTCTAACTAGGTTAATGTGTTCCTTTTGATGGTTGCATTTTTTTTGTTTATTTCGTCGTTTACATCATATTTGTAACTTTTGCAATTCTTATATTTTTTTATTAAACTTATTAAATTTGAATACGGTGTATTATTGCCAGTAATTATACTGGTAGGAGAAACAGGTTAATATACGTAGAGTATATTCATATCTCACATAAAATAAGGGAACTCCCTAGGACAAGCTCATATAAGAGGTATCAATGGCATATCATGACAAAGCGCCTGGAAGGAATTAAGTGAAAAAGTTTTCTATTCTGAAACAGTGCCTATTTGATAATGAGAAGCTAAGCCAAACCTTTGGAGGGTGATTACTTCTGCAGGCAACATCTAGTAGTATCATTTTCCATTTCTGAATTTCAATGGTGACAGCGGCTGCCCTAATTTTAAGTTTGGCTATAGTTTTCCCTATCAAAACTGATAAACATAAAGATCAAGGTATTTTTTTGGTTTCCTCTATACAAGCCTAGCATTTCTACAATGTCGGGTTCGTTTGGGAAATAAATATTCCTATCAGAAAGTATCTTCCGCTTTAAATTTAGAGTTCGAACCCATCATCGGGGTTACACTTCACACTCGATTAAATGCATCCAGTTTTTCAACGAAGCCGACCATTTCATTTGGTAAGTGATTTTTTGGGTCAGATGTCAAAAGAGGGACTGCCAAACGCTGATACTCTGTTCCGGTTCTTAGCGGGGCAGGCATAGAGTATGTGCTTTGCTACTTGGGCCTCATGAAGAATAACTCACTACAAAGTTGATTGACCATGGTTGATTGACCATTTTCTTGAATCTAGTAGTAAGGTCCTTATCGGCGGTCAGTTTACGAAAACCTTCGTTAGGTAGGTAACAACATAAATGCATGGCTTGTGAAATAGGTCTCCTGTGACGCTTTTTAGGAAGACTTCCTCTCATGGCTGCATTTCCCTAATATTGGTCAAGAGTTGGAGAACTAAGAATCCAGGAGTGACTAAATCGGAATTTTCTGTTCTAGAATCATACCTGTGGATCATTTTCTGAAAAATCTTCTACGACAGCCATTTTGGCATACTGAAGAATATCGTTCGATTTTGAGTTTGTCGGATGTCTAAGGTACAAGATTTCCACTTTAATTACCACATCAACCTCCCCATTTGAGGACATCTGTAAGTCCATTTTACATTCAACTACGCAGTGCTTTTTCGTCTCGGTTTGGATGAATCATCGTTTGAGCGCAAGTGTTTGCTGACCTGCTCAGAGTTAGTTTCCTATCCTGATGCAGATTCTGATTCTGCTGCTCAAGAATTTGGTGCAAGGCAGATTTATAAGATGTCCTGCTCATGAGTCACTTCCTACCTGCACTGCAGAGCCTCCTAGTTTTGTTAAGAGTTTTTGGTGCGATGTTACTGGGAGGAGAGTTGGCAACGTATAGTCGACGCTCATCTCTTCTGTAGATTCAACCGGATTCTTCGTCATTTAGGAGTTCTCTTAATTCGTCGGGTGCCTGTCCACCTGGCTGAATATTCTAATTCCCCCTGCTGCAGGGCGTAAAAAAAGAAGCATTATGTTGGAATTCGCACAAAATTATCAATTTTGATCAGTTATTAATGAGGAGAATCTGATTTGTGTTATTCGGTAGTGTCAAAAATAAAAGAATATTTGTATTCACGAATGGATGTATATTGTTTTCAACATATCTGAACACATTGATTGGTAGAATTGTAACCTCTAACATAAAATGATTCTATTAAAAACACCTTTCTCCCACCAAAACCAAATACTGTCTCTCGAAGCGAATCATCTTATGATTATTCTGAATGAAAATTTTTTGAAAATCGGCTTCCCCACCATATTCTACACCTGTACCGAAAATGATTCAAACAGAGCTGTGATTGGCCTCAAAGGTAGTGAGTCATGATTATGGCCATTTGTGATTGGTTCGAAGATGGGACTTGTCAGTTAGCCAACAAAAAGCGGTCACATAAATGACGTTTTTTTCAACAGTCATGTAATATTCACTCGTGGAAATCCATATTGTTAGTTATTGTTATCAATACTAGAAAAAATCAACTCAGAGACTTTATATTTTGACTGGTGTGTGTACATTTCTAAATGGTAGTCCTGTCAATCGGCAGGAAATGTAGTTGTCAAAAAATACTTGTGGATTTTTCCTCATTTTTTATCATTCTGTATGTTTATTTTGTGTTAATTTGTTTTGTAAAAACAAGATTTGTCAATTGAAGATTGAAAAATAGTCAAAAACGTCAATAAAGTTCCTTCTTGACTAAAATTGGATTTATTGGCTTGAGTTGATCCATTCTTCTGAAAGAATAACATTAGTGACCCCAACGTGATCACGATATGGAGCAGCGTAAGTACCAAAGACTTGGTGCCGGTTTGAATCGAAGCCTATCAATGGATTATGTTTAGCCCGACCAATTTGGCAAGGCAAATCGTTCTCAAACTCTAGCAACTTCAAATGGCTAGTTCAAGAGAACAGTCGTGAAAAAGTTAAATTTCTTGAGACATGACCAGCAAATACCTGAAATGATAGAAGAGTAGAAAAAAATGACGAGCTCAGCGCCCTAGGAGCTTAGTAAGATGCATCGATATACAAAATTGTGAATATCTTGAAAACGATCACCTCCAGCGTTGTTGAGGAAGTGTACCTTTTTGACTTGGAAAATTTGCAGGAATTAGGTTTTTTCATGAAAAGTACCAAAAGTTTACTTTCATAAACGGCAATTTGAAATAAATAACGACAGCGTACGCAGTGCCCTCTAGATGTTACATGAAAATTAATACGAAATTATGATTTCCACGTCATAAAAACCCCGGGTACCAAATTTCGTGCAAATAACTCATTTTTTGCAAGTCATTTTTTTTAAAGGTATTAAAAATTTAATTTTAATAAGTTTATATAGACTTTTTTTCTTAAAATTACCTCAGGAATACGTCAATTGAATATTTAAACGTACTTATGTTACACCCTGTATCTTTGGTTGTACAAAAAAGTTTACACAGGTGCCTTAATAATAACCGGAGCCGTAATAATAGTCACTTCGTATGACATTGATGAAAGCGAAGGAAGTAATTGAAAGTAATCGATAGGAGACTGTTAATTAACTAACCAGTGATGATATTATCTCACTGAAATTTACTGAAAGTAGGTATGTATGTTCTACTAACCTGTCATTTCCTAAATTCGAGAAGCTCCGCCGATTACAAATAGCCTTGGAATATTCCCAAGTACATATTGGCGCCCAACCACTTGTTCTGATTGATCTAATTTTTTGTAAAGACATCACAAACAAATCTGATGAGAAATGCTTACTGCACAAATTCAGGTATCTTGTATATTCAGACAGTTATTCATGAGAAATGCTGCCACTTTACTGGAACCATGTGAATTTTATATTTAGATGTGGTAATGAAAGATACGCCGGCGGAATGTTTTGATCGATAACCACGGGCGTACAACGGGGAGTAGGTTTATTTGTAATCGAGATTAAATTATATTTGATTTCCAGAAAATGTGAAAATTTAGAACATAATCATTATGTATTCTTTGAAAGATATTGATGAACGTTAGATTACATCCTAAAAGCCTTTGTACAAGTTTGCTCATAGAGATAGAGATAATTCTTGCAGACAGCAACGCTGTCTAGTACTCAATTGATTTCATCGATGCTCCATTTAACTACAGCAAAGTAGTTACATTTTCATCTCGGTAAATGAACAATCCATATACCAAAACTGTAACAGAAATGTAATCAGCCTGATGACAGCCTGTCTGTTTAAAATCTGTTTTTCCGTTAACCAGCTGTCGCACACCTACGAACGACAATCCTCAGAAGTCGAAACTTGTGCGAGCTAAGGATTAACGAGGTTTTACCTTTCAACGTGTGATTCCGAATACACACACACACACACACACACACACACACACACACACACACACAATGGAATGAACCTATTTCTGTTTGTAAGCTCTGAAAAAAGCTGTTTATGTTTTTGTTTTAGTCTTCAATTGTAGCCCTGAAAAGGGCTGTTTTTTTTATTAATCCATGCAATGGTATGGACTAACGCTCCTCATCATGAGAAACAATGATGATGGTGTCATCATCTGAATTATCTGTATCTGATATACTGATAATGTCGTCCTCATGATCATCTGAATCAGACGATATACTAATAATATCGTTCGCATAATCATCTAGCTCGTCATCCTCTAGATCGTCTAACTCGTGGACACCCATTTCTAACTCTGCATCTACTTCCTCTTGCATACGTTCTTCTATGCGTTCCGGGAAATGAACAGGAATATCATAGATGCGTTGCAAAAATTCTGCGAAAGTTGTATTGAAACGATCGAACGTTGAATTTTTTTCATGTACCTGGATGGACCTGGATTATATTGAAAAACTAATGAGGGAGAGGGGGAGAGACACTGTTCCAACCAAGCAGTGTCCCGTGTACACCAACCAAAAAGTGTGTACTTCAAAGAAGGAAAGGATTAAGGATGGGAGAAACAAGAAAACGATTACAAATCGTCATGAGATTTGATATGGAGTTTCCACATGCGCATGAAAGCCTGCCTCCTCAACCACCGGGCAGCAGCATCTGGATCANGATAATATTGTTAATTTACCTAATAAAGAATGTTACGCGTTACTTTATTAGCACACACACAACTACTGTATTTTTGTCCACCCTGTACCAATTGGAATCAACATGTGATACATTTTTGGAATCAGCTCAGCTAGAGTAATTCAAAAATTGAGACAAAATGGGGGTGTTCCATTTAAAAAAATGACGGTGACGTCATTACTCGAACGTAATTCACCCGGTATATTAGATTATTATTTTGAAATACGGTAAATTAACATCAGGATTATTTCTTAAAATGACCTGTTTAGCTGAATTTTATGTACCCCCTTTAAGGGGCTGTATTTTAACAAGGGATGCTCCAATGAAGTTCCTTTATACGAAAGATTCTATCTTTTTTTCGACGAGAAATCACCCCCTTAAATGTTTTACACTTATTCAGTTACACCCTGTATAATGCAATATAACCAATAAAGTAGTTGGTTTTCAGCAGACAATTGCTAGATCCAACTGTGTCAAAATGTTTCAAATTTTCATTCCAAATATTTATTGTCTCAACATATGTGTCTCACCTCAACAAAGTCATTATATTGATTCAATCTTTATTATATAATCTACTTTATTCTAATGTCATATATATTGTCTTGACAATATGAATAATTATATCCCTACTTTAAAATGTTTTGATATGAAATAATATAAAATAGAAAAAATCGGGATGTTTTAGAAGACTTTCAAATATTGACTGTTTTACGTATTTTTTGTCGCCACCAATTTCTTCATGTCTTCTTTGTCTGGAATAAATTGGATGGCAACAATGATGTTTGAAATGACACTGGCTAAAACGAATCCAATCGTTCCCAAATTTATTTCAAAAAACCCTGCTGCTGATATGCATAATTTTCTAGTGTTCGCCTGTTTAGCTATCAAAAGAAGTTCTTCTTTCAATAATCGTTGGTAGTCAGTTTTTGGAATTCCAGGAATGTCGCTCAGAAGGACATAGCATATAACGGGCGTTTTTCTAGCTTCATTTTCCAAACCTTCTCCTGCGACAGAAATCAGTATTATTGAAACCTGAAAAATGGTTGTCATATTCAGTTTTTCAAAAATTTTAACCAATCCATTGGCATTACAATTATGAAAAACGCGATACATAAAGGACGTTTCGATAATGAAATTTCAGATTGTCATGATTTAAAAAAATGTTCAAAATGAAATTTTTCAAAAAATGTGCTCATAAATTTCATAAAATATATTGGGAAAAACAAGTCCATCAAAAAATTATATTAGACATGATGATGCATAGGAAAATAAATAACTTGCATCTTTGAAATGAAACTGTTTTGACATTTTCACATCAGGCAACTGGAAAACATTGTTTGAACTTACGAAATTTCATTTTGCAATAAATTATAAGTGAAATCACAGCCTGCTGATTCTCCTAGTTTTTATAAAATGTGATTTTTTCGTAATAATGGAATATAATCAAATTACCAAAGAATAATTTTTAAGAAATATGAATTTTGATGTATATGGATTTTGTTGTATTTTATCTAGAATGTCGTTCTCAATATGACGTTCTTTGTTTTCAGAGCGCCCATCAAAAACATCTTTTCCAAAACAGATCTGGATATTTTTTCATTTTTTGTTATATCACCAACTTGTGTATACTAGCATAGCACAAAGATCGATTTGAAAAGGTTTCAATTGATTCATTCACTATAAAATTTTATTTCAACGGAAATAGCACAAATAATAATTATCTTCGAAGTTTCTAGTGCCGTAGTATTTCTTCAAGTGTCCGCCGATATGATAATACAAATACTCATACTTGTTCTTCATTTTATGAGTATCACTGGTAATCGAAAACATTCAACAGCTCCATGTTTAACTTTTCGACTTCACATGAGAATGTCATATAGAATATATCTTAAGAATATCGATAAAAAGAAATCCAATGAAGAGGAACATGGTGATCAAAAATTTAGTTCATCTAATGTCTTTTGAAATTTTTGAACTTTAACAAGAAAGAGTTCTTATTTCATATGATAAACATGAAAAATAAGTTTCAATCATTTAGAATATTTCATGGATACTTTTATGGATATCATTTTTTCATGTCTATCGAATTGCTATGAACTTCCAAAATATGAAGTGAACTATTGATTTCAAAATTACAATTAGTCATGAAAATGTTTCGTCAATTAGGATTCCGTATACAAAGTATCTAAGATTGATTTGCCGGAAACTGGTGAAGCCTGATTGAACCAGTGTCTAAATTATAAATCATTAAAAATGCTAAATCCGGGCTGGTAGACCGTGTCCGAATGAAACATAAAGTAACAAACGTTTAGTCTGCTAGGTTATACTCGTATTCAGAAGTCTCAGGCAACGGCAGTAGTTGCAGAGACTTCAAGATATAAAATCCGGCCTTGCAGACATTTACCTCCGGCGTTTTCTGCTGCAGTAGCAGACGAAATGTTTGGTTCCATTCAACAATAGCATACCAATTCGAATTTTATTCGTTTGATTTTTAACTTCGGCCGTTTAAGCTAATGTTTTTTCAAAGTCGGATTTCCACCAAACGACAACAAAACAGCAACTGTGTCGATTTTTACGAAACAAAAACTTGAGTTGTCAAAATAAAAAACATTAGGAAGACTTTGTGTCGCGGGCGACTGTTTTTGTCGACAACAAAATGTCCCGCCGGCAGGCGTAAAGATCAAAAGGTTTCGGTGTTTTGTCTGTGTTTACGTAAACAAAGTTCACTATGTGGAAACGGTTGGCGAAAATAACAAGCAACTATTCAGATATAACATATCTCAGTTCCATTCATTTCTTTGTCATCATTTATACCATAATTGTATCTGTAGCATAATATACGTCTTCTTAACATCCCATTACAACTCTTGACGTGTCCACTGAAACTCAAGTTGATACATCAGAAAGAGTACTTCGACTACGCCACTGAAGATGACTACCGCAGTGGCAGTTGAAACGTTTGGAGATTATAACCGAAATAGACCACGGCAAAACCCGGAAGCCAATCAAAACACTTATATTGATGCATAGCTTCAAAAAACTCTCTAACATGAACCAGTAAAATGATAACTCTAAATATATTGATAATATGGTTAATAGAATTTGGAACCTCTGGCGTCAAATTAATGTATTGAAAACACTTTTCCTTCACCAAAACAAAAGTACTGTATATTGACGCGCGTTTCGCTAATTAAGTTAGTATCATTAGAAGATGACTAGTAGACTTCTCTTCCAATGACTATCCTAATATTTTTATACGTATCTAGACGATACATAATATGGGGCATCAAATCAATTCTTACTACCAATCTAATGTTATTTGCTACCTGACTGATGACTATTCGTATTCTACCTGTGATTACGTAGAAGTGCGAAAATGGTGCTGTAATGTATGGGACCTTTGTCACCATTCATAGAACTTATTCCACATTTTCGATTTTCAAATTTTTGAAGACATCTAAAAATGTATTGTCATGTACAGATCTCAACGCTTTGAAGCATTCTTCAACTATTCTGTGGTCATTCTCTATAGCATGTTGAACAACACTGGAATTTTACGGTTTATGAAACCGAATTTGTGAAATATGTTCCTTGTAGCGAGATAATATAGTCTTCTTAGATTGACCGACATACTTTTTATCACAATCTTTTTAGCTTATTTCGTGAATCTCAGACTTCATCTTGTTTGTCAGCTTATCTTTCGGATTGCCCAACACTTGTTGAAGTGTACGTGCAGTTTCGAAAGCTACTTTCATATTCAGTTTTTCAAAAATTTTAACCAATCCATTTGCATTACAATTATGAAAAACGCCATACATAAAGGAAATTTCGATAATGAAATTTCAGATAGTGGCTTGATTATAAATCGTTTTTTCATTTTAGTACAGCAATACCTCTCATTACGCATCAGAAGAAAAGCCTTCTAAAATTTTGATGGGGCGTACTATTCGCACAAAGTTCGATGCATTATTACCTTCAACGGAAAAAATTGTTGAAGAAAATCAGCTTCGCCAACATACGTATTATCGAGGAATTAGTTTGATATAAATTATCAAGTGTGGGTTCGTGATTATTGAGAAAATATGCCTTGTTGGTGCGAGGGTGTAGTTATTGAAATTCTTAGCCGAAAGACATACATCGTGAAAACAAAAACTGGAATGCTATGGAAACGGCATATTTATTAGTTGAAACATAGATATCCGGAAAATAAAATATTAAAAAAATTATGAAGGAAGTTGTTAGGTAGAAAATCAAACTAAACAATCAGTTTGAATCATTCCAATATCTTATATCAATGTAAATGTGACCGAACCAGATTTGGATGAAGTAACTTTAACTGAGAGTGTCAAATGTGTTTGTTGAATCTTCCGAGAGTGGTAGTGACCTGGAAGTAGGAGAGAACATGCACCTGCCGGTCTCAGTCATGGCCGGTGAGAAACCCCTTCCTCAACGTGTTCTATTGTCTATTAATCAACATCAGAAACATAACAGGTTCGAATGGAAGAACTATAATTTTGGAATCTTAGTCTTTTTGAAAAGTCTCAACTTGGTTAGCAAATCGCGCAACGAGAGACAGAATTTTTGTTCTGGTGATGTAGGTAAGAGCGTTTTCAATAGATATTGATAATTTTTCGAATCTACAAGTTATAAAATTGTGCTCAAGATGCTATGAATAATTATGAAATTGAACTTTTTTGTTGTTGCCAGTCCTGTTAGTTTCAACAATCGATTTATTTCCAGAGTAATGTTTTCAAAAACTGTAAATACGGAACTGTTTCATTTTTATTGCACACAAGCTTGATTGATATTTAATTCATTTGAAAATGCTCATTTTCCACATGCATATTGTTATCGGATAACATCTATAAGAGATGGTTTGATTGAGAAATTACCAATAGGCAGAAATCCTTGATAAAATTATACAGAATGATATCTGGAAGAGCGGCATTTTTTATTTCTGTACTGTTTTATATTTATGAAGGGTGATAATATGCAAATAGTCAAGTAGGTTATTTTTAGGTACATATTGGAAAAAATTCAAATCATCCTATTTCCTATATAACCCTAGATATTTCGTGAACGAAGAAAGCCTTTTCTTCGTTCGTTTGAAGGTGGTTGACAATGTTTCGTGGTGTATTTCATCAGTTCGGACTTCCATTGTCTAAAATAATATAAATTGATTCGAAAGTCCTAAAAAAAATAAAAAGATTTACCGAAAATAACAATTTTATTGAAACAAAAAACTGAAATTACAAGGAAATAACATACAAGCTACAACTAGATCGAACTGATGAAAAAGCCATTTCTACATATCAACATGCATTTTATGATAATTTTATTGGACCTCACGGGACATATTTCGGTGTATCCTTTCCGAAGCTCTTGTCTATCAAATATATTCCTCACAGTCGGAGGGGGCTGTGGAGAAACAATATTTAGAGTCGTGGGTGGCTGTAGAGAATCAATCATTCCTCAGAGCCGTAGGGGACTGTTTGGTATGGTCAGTTTGTTAGAAACTCAAGTTTCTAAATGCATGCATTTTATTCTGTACAACATATTTCTTCATTTTTTCCAGCAGCGGTGGATTGACATTAACGCTAAACCGTTCGTTGTTCCTGGCTTGTGAAGTTTCCATTCGATCTCTTTAGGGATTGAGCATGGGTGTAACGTTTGGCTAGCTCCGCAATTGTCGAAGTCATCAGGCCGTATGTGCCACTGCGTCCTAAAATTCTTAGTCCAGCCGTTTTCTTGGCAAAAGAGTCGGTAATACGTTTACCTCAACTCCTGTCGTGCACTTTAATCCACCTCAGGATAATGTTATTATCTACCGAGGCTTTGGCTAAATCTTGGTGGCACTCTATTACTAGCCCTGAGGCAACACGTTGTCTGTTCAAGGCTAATAGTGCTTGTCTGCACTATTGTTATCGTTTTTGTGGCAATTGAGATACCAGCCAGTTCCCATTCCCCACTTAATCCTTAGGCGGAGTACACTTCACATCCTGAGCCTTCTTTGGTTTTTGAGCTGTCTGTATATATGCGTATTGCATTTGTAATACCTGACTTCGTGTTCTGTTTTATTTGTATTTTGTAGGGTTTATTAAACATAAACCTGGGCTCAATTGCATCTCTGGTTGCCTGCAGCAGAGGTAGCACAGTGAGTACTTCTCGCCATAGGTTCAGCCTCAATTGACCCATTCTTACTTCGAGGTTTACACCAGCCGTTCGCAATTGTAACATGGCCATTAATGCAACCTCCTTAGCGTACAGGTCCAGATGGGACAGACTAGTGATTAATTCCATTGTCGCGGTTGGTGTTGTTCTCATGGCTCCTGTGATGTTTAAACAAGCCAATCTTTGTATTTGATATAATTTTTGGATGACCGTTGCTTGTAAAACTTTCGGGGGGATCAATCCCCTTGATCCCCCCTGGCTACGGCTATGCATGTGACTGCTGAGCTTGGATAGGTGACCTGTCTCGTTGAAGTGAGAACAATTTGAATTGACAAAAAGTGGAAGAATGGGGGCGGACTGGAGAGGCGCAGTTACTATTTCCGATTTCGGAGACAAAAAAAGTATAGGGACAAGAATTGGATACCGGCTATAGAATGGATGGATACTATCTAGAATTGTTGAGATCTGTACATAACTCTAGACTTTTAGATGGTTCGTGATTCAGTGCTATAGAATATTAATTAATATAGACTTCATTTCCAATACGCGTTTCAATACAATCATATAAAAATTCTTCTAAAATTATTCGAAACAATCGCTTGATTCAGAGGGATTTTGGGTTAGTATTCTAATTTTGGATTGCTTCAATATCATATATTGAAAATTTTTCTAAATTGTTTCTACGCCAAGTTCAATTGAATGATTTTTTTGGGTCGAAAACTGTACGTCAGACGAAAAAAAATGGTGACCATATTATGTGCTCATTTAAAAAAAAAGCTGTATAGAATCACTTTTCTCTTTGAAATTATTCAGTTCAAGTTCAAATATTGTACGTATTTCACTAGTAATAAATAATAGTTTAAAAAAAATAAAAAAGCACGCTTTAATAGCAACACAGACTAAAAAATGAAAAATAATTCGAAACTAATTTAAGATTGTGTTCAGCATCGATAATAAGTCCTATGTCTTGATGTAACTAATGACTTTCAATAAGTCTGAAATTAGAATGAATCTATTTACAAACAAATTAATTTTGTTGCAAAAAGCGTGGGATGCTTTAAATTTTATTTTTATTATGGCCCCAATCTGGCAATCAGCTCCTCACCAAGTATTAATACGTTTTTTTACAATAAAATTAAGTTTCTTTGTAAATGAATTTTTTCAGATTTATCAAAAGCCATAAGTTACATCAAACCATAGGACTTATTATATATCGATGTTGAAATAAATCTTAAATTTGTTTCGAATTTTTTTTCACTTTTTAGTTTTGGGTTGCTACGTGTTTTTTTAACTATTATTTATTTTCCACTTTTTAGTTTGGCTTGCTATCTTGAGCACATTTGTTTTAATATAAAATATATACACATGCGCAGGCAGTGTGGTTGTCGCACTTGCTCTCACACAGAGACTGTGTGAGGAAATTATTTGATCCTGGCTATCCTGATCAGAATAATGAATTAGTATGTTTAAAGTTAATCAAAATCGAGTCCAAAGGAGTTGCTTACAAACAAACAAATAAACATACAAGTGAAACTGATAAAAGCGTGTTAAAAATAAAATTATATGTGTTATAGAAGACGCGAATACGAACAAATGTGATGAAGTTTTACAGAAAATATTTTTTTTTGTGTTTGATTTGGGAAATTCGACTTAGATATTTCTGAGAATTTCAGTATTTTGATGATCATCGAATAAAATGTTTTTTTTTCATCGCTCAATTGGAAGCAATAGTTATGTCTCTCTAAGTACCATAGCTGTTCATCAAAAAATTTGTCAGTCATCTTATTCCACAACGAGATAATTGTACACGATACCATTCAACATCATTCGTGAGATACGAAATTTGAAATTCAAAATGAAATTATAGATGATCGAAGCTGATACTTTCTATGATAAAATACTCGAAAATCTATACAGGGTTAACCGCAAATGAACCCAATTTGAGAATTTCGAATAGAACCCTGTGAATTTTTGTAGGCCATTTGTTTCTAAAACTTCGAGATATAATCTCAGTCCTCACGGTCAACGCATATACCACAGATGATGTTTGCCACAATAGTTGGTACCACAATAGTTGGTACCACAAGTTCCATTCAGCCAAGGCCTACAAACCCGGTTTTGTTTTCTCTAATCATCATACAAACTGAATTTGTTGAATTGAAATTCAGAAAAAGTGGTAAATTGGTATGATGCTTCGACCAGATATTTTTTGTTGAGAATATGAAAGGTGGATTCATTCTGCTACGTTACATGAAAGAAGAAAATGCGAATAACCGTGATCTCCCTAAGTGGTTTGGGGAATTATCAATATAACTTGTACAGAACACTAGTAATGACAATTATAGTCAACAGTGAGGTGTCAAAATACAGTAGACACACTAAACATACTGAATATCAATGTGTCGAAAACACATGTGTGCTGTTTGCATTCATTGAGTGCTTTGTTCATGACTGTTCTTCTTTTTGATTTGTATCGAAGTCACTAACGGCACCATATCGTTCATCCTGAACCCAGACGTTGGGGTTGGTGAAGAGTCTGATGGTGTAATCTGACCGAAGTGCGGCTGTTCTTTGTTGGTAACTCTGTACATTTCATGCAACTGAATTTTTCCCCTCTTTGTAATCAGCTATACCATACAGATGAGACCAATAATGCATAAACAAGTTTGAAGTTTGAATTTTTTGAGTGAGTCATGCAACTTCCCCTAAAAATCTACAGCATAGGATTTGGTAAATGCGAAGCAATAGCCAATAGACGAGAAGTCTTTTTTTCCCTTTCGTAGTCAGCGCCATTCTTGGCTAGTACCACGGATGAGTTCTAAAGCAGATCGTAACAGCACTATCTGGATCTGAATCATACAGGAAGACAAATCCATAGAGAAAGGATAATATGCAACTTTATGTCTGGAATATATTGTATGGGAATTGTTGTGATAACAACATTCTCTTGGAAAAAATACCAAAATGAACTACTAAAGAAGTATTATTGTAGGAATGAAAATATGCAACTTTCTGTCTCGAATATATTATACTAGCGAACCGCCCTGGCTCCGCACAGGTGCTATGATGATACTAAATATACATATGAACGCGTGCGGTCGCTTCTAATCATAATGTGCCATAGGGCGAAGCGCAGCCTTCGATGCTCTATTTATAGGCACGCAACGCAGACCCCTCGGCCGGTACTGCGTGGGGCCATTACTGCCGGCATCAAAATCTGCATCTGCATCAAAATCCGTTGCTTAGTTTTAAAGATCTAATCACACATAGGGACAGACAGCGGGAAGCGATGATTGAAACTAAAACAAAATACTCCTTGAAAAATATCGAAATGTGCTACTAGAAACGTAATTCTATAGAAATGAAAATATGCGAGTTTCTGTCTCTAATATATTGTATGATAATTGATACAATATCAATGTCCTCCTATGAGGAATACTGAAATGTTTTTCTCAACAAAGAATCCTTGTTGTCAACCTACCTATTCATATTCAATGAGGTACAATAAATGTATGTAACAAACATTCTTAGATAAAGTACCTATGATTGAAACTAATAAATATGTATTTTGTATATTGTATATTTTTATGATAACTTTATTTCTATATAGTTATTCTGAATAGTTATGATTTTATTTCTTGGATTATAATATTTTATTAGTGTAACATATAGTGCAAGAAGTTTGTAATCTTTAACGACTATATTTCTCTTGAATATCGTTATACAGTTTTCTCAGTGTAGAATGTGAAGTCTGGTATCACCTGATGTCTGTTATTTTGATTATTTCATTACTGTCATACATTCATGTAGATTTACCAAAAGCATAAATACATTTCATGCGTACAAAATCATTGGTGAAAAAAATAACTTTGAAACCACTTACTGTTATTACTGTAATCCACAAACCAGTGCCAAATAGCGTATAAATTTTCCTTGACTCATCATCGTAGAAAATCGTGTAAAAGAATCCTAAATATGTATTATATACTATGTCAATTATAGAGAACATCACAGAAAAAAACATGGATTTTCCAAATATGGTATTAAATTCATCTACAGTGACACCCATGTTGTGAATCATCATTTTTGTATTCATTATTTCGGTGATTTTTTCTTTCCTTTCTCTATCAGAATTATTCATGTTTTCCTCTAAACATTTTATGATATTGAACCTTTCATTCAAGCAATTCATACCTTTATCCAAACGTTTTATAATATCAGATATAACGATGATTGTGAAATTATATCGCAGCAAAAGTAGATATCTTACAAAATAATATTTGACTAATTGTACAAAGTTATCATAAGCACAAAAATCTGCATAGAAACCAACAATGCACAGTAACTGAAGAATTATGATCTTAAACCATAAAAACATGTTTTTGTCTTCAACATTTTTTGTTTGCATTTCTAAAGTATCGAAAAATTGGGTAGCTCTATGGAAGTTGATCATTTGCGAGAGAATTATTGAAATATTGAACAGACTCAGAAAGAAAGTCGAGATGTTATCCAATATTTTCTCCATAATCGTGAAAGGATCGAAAATTGAGTCGGTAGCCATTCCGAAAATCCAATAACAATAACACGTTATGTCAAATAGTAATATCATGTAAATATAAATTCGAAACGAACTCCATTTACCAATAGGGGGGGAAAGTATCCCTCCAAAATAAGCGACCTTTCTCAAACCATCCATCAGCGACGTTTGTGAGAGAGGATATTTGTTATAACATGCCATAATAGTTGCGGCATGATGATTAGATAAAATGTAGTAGGAATATTTCTATTATCTTTTTCATCATTATTAAACAGAGACCGGCCGATAAAATGAAAATATGGAAAGGTAGATGGGTATAAAAATTATACTGTGTGTTTCTTTAGTGAGGAATGTATAAATTGAAGTATCATATGTTGCACAACACTTTTATTCTTCTCGGTTTTAATTTCTATTTAGCTTTTGGATTTGGAAATCAGAAAATTTGCATATATGAAATAAAATTAGAAAGTGTAAATCAGTCAATTAGATATAAGGTAGTAATGAATCATTGATGAATCGAATAGTTATTCGCAAAACAGCCTTGATTTTTTCCGATGGCAAAACCTCAGGTAATCACATGAAGCAGTGTTGGACAGAGAATCGAAACACCTATCAAACAAGGTATTATAGAATACCATTTCCATTTGAGAAGAAAGTTGGTATCGCATATGATATTTCATCCCATTCAAAAATTGAGAGGGGAGATTTTTAACGTCAGAATTGTGTTTGGAATATTGAAGTACCTACGTGAAAACGATAAAGTCTTTTCAATATTATTTGAAAGAGTATATGCCAAAATATGTATTAATGGCCGATTTCTCCGTAACAATTAAAAACATACTTCAATGTGGGATTTCCAGGCCCGAGGATGCTATCGTCTAGTAGCGAAACACGTGTCATGGTTTCGTAAACTTCCAAGTGGAAATCTCACATTGAAGTGTTTTTTTAATACGTAACAATGCATATTCCGAAGGCTATTAACTTCTTACAAACAATGCCAGAAACGAGTTGTGAGGAGTTTTTTGTAATTTCCAATTTCTCCAAATGTACCTACATATCATATAAATTTAATCGAAATATTTTCATTGGACATGTTCCAACAGCTAACTGGTAGGTACTACATTGAGGTAGTTTGATTGAATTGATGAAATCAATTTGATGTTCTCATTTTTATGCCTTCAATAATAAAAATTCATAAGTTCCTGGTGTTCAGATGTTTGCATAGCTTCAAAAAACTATCCTACGTGAACCAGTTGAATTTTAACTCCAGATATACCTATGGATAATATTTGGAGTTTCATCCCAACACCACCAACACCGTTATTTTAACATCTCGACACGTGTTTAGATCACCAAGTGATAATCTTCAAGAGGAATCGAAACACGTGTCGAGATGTTAAAATGACGGTTTGGTGTTGGGATGAAACTCCAGTAATATTCATTTCTACAGTGCATGAAACAGTGCATGAAAAGTAAATAATGAAAGTGAACTTCTTTTTTTTGTTGTCAGTTCTGTGTTTGAGATATTGCGATACAACCAACTGCAAACAAACTAATTTCAGTAATCAATTTCATGTGCAGTGAAATATAATTTCCAGAGGGTTGTTTCCTTTACAAAAACTGTAATTACTGAACTGTTTCATTTTTATCGCATGATAAACTTGATTGATATTATTTACTTGAAAAAATGCTTATTTTCAACGTGCACTTTAGAAAACGCCTTCCTTCAGATAATGCAGTCATTTAACAACCATGATTATGAAAATTCACTAATGATGATTTGTCTGAAAACTTCTATGTTATAAATGTATACAGAGAGGGCATCATTGTTGATTTATACTATGTTTTCCCATTATAGAGGGCGATAACATTCTAATATTCAAGTAAGTTACTATTAGGTCCATAATGGGAAAAAAATCATAATAAAAACTTTCTTCCCCAAAAATTAATTAATCCTAAAAATATAAGCCTTTCAAACTAAATAATTTTTGTGAAACGAAAAGATCTACTTCTAGACATTAAAATACATCTTCTGCTGTACAACATATTTTTTTGATTTGCCAGGAGCGCTCCTGCGGAATTTGCACCGGAATGTTCTAAAGGGAAAAATGGTGCGACACTACGTACTCTTTTAAGTTAAAATAATTTTTTTGAACTCCTCATTCTTTCCAAGCAAAACTAGTCGTCTTTTTAATTATATTTGTTCAACATACATCTATCTAGAATATAAGTATTTCAAATGAACAGATATTTCCCAACTTTCACGAAAAAAGTGCGAAAAAGAATGTTCAAAAAGAGTTAGCTAGTTTGAAATCAGGGGACGAAATGGGTGAACGAAAAATTGAAGACAGTTTGAATATATCACATTTTCCTATTTGAAAAATTCTCCATAAGTCACCATTATATTCTCTTCACGAGTTCAGGATCTACCTACTCACGGCTCCGATGAATTTTCATTACGAATTAAAATTTTGCCTACTGTTTCTCTGTTTCTCCAAAAAATATTCATTTTTGGACTGAAGACTACCTACTTTGGAAACTCATCACATGGAGAAGTTTTCTGTAAGGTGATTTATCAAGTTTACCCCACTTTCTTCGCGATACGGCACTTCCCATTCTGCTACCCCTCCCCTCCATGAAGGGTGGGCACTGTCCCTCCTTATAACTAATCTGTTCATGAGTATATTTGAATTGGAAGCGCCTTCAGATAATGCAGTCATTTAACAACCATGATTATGAGAATTTACTAATGATGATTTGTCTGAAAACTTCTATGTTATGAATTTATACAGAGAGGGCATCATTGTTGATTTATACTATGTTTTCCCATTATAGAGGGCGATAACATTCTAATATTCAAGTAAGTTACTATTAGGTCCATCTCAACAACCCGCACTGGAGAGAATTGTGGGAAGTAGATTGATGGAAAAAACTACCCCGAATTTCAAATATCTAACCACATTTCTCATGCAACTCGATATATCCTATGTCATTACATATGTCAGATTTGGAACTCCTTACTCTGCACATTTTTTCACCGGAGCAGAATCCCTCAGATTTTTCGGATCAAAATTCTGCTACTGTTTCTGACAATCGTCTAAAAATGTAGCAACACTGTGGAAATCTTTGCTTTTGGCATATGGAGAGTAAATATATCTCTACCCTCCATACTGTAGCAACAATAATCCCTCGAATATCTAAATCATTTGCAACACCGTCCTGAAAAGGATGTTATTTACAGACATACCTATGGAAGGAAAATATGATAGCTTTGGTAAATGAAATAATTTCCCGTTCTTTGAAAGGGTTTTAGTCAGAGGACCAGATAATAAAGTGTAGTAAAAATCAAAAAAAAAAAATTAACAAAGGGTCCCCTAGGCGATCAATTGCAAAGCTTCGACATCGACCCTCTATGAGATGTATTCTCTGTCTTTCACTGCAAGGTAACAAGTTAGAAATTAGAGCCCAAACACAACGCATTTATGATTCTATGGGATCCATAAAAAACTCAATTTTAGAATATCAAGGATAAACGAGGCACCGCAAGGCGGTCAATTGCAAACCCAAACTTTGACATCGATCGCTTTTGTCCTCTGTCTTTCACTGCAGCTTTCACAGCCTTGTTTATCTTTCATATTCGAGGACTGAGTTCTCTGTCGATCCCATAGATATCGTCTTCGTAAACTTAATGTTACGTTGATGAGTCCAAACATGCTCTGCTATTCCCGATTTGCTGGTTTCTTCTTGCTGTGTGTTTCTCTTGTAGGTAGATACTCGGCAATGCGGACTTTCAATGAGTGCGGCACATCCTACATCGGCTGCGTTCCCGACGATGCTTCTGTCAAGTATTGACAGAAGATAACTGGCCAAATACGCTCGAGTGGGAAGTAACGGCCATTGAAGATAGATAGAGAGAGAGAGAGAGAGAGAGAGAGAGAAAAGTCGAATGTTGTGGAGGTTTCTGTCTGTGGCATTTGTGGTTAAGTTTTGAGTCTTTTGAAATCAGGTGTTATAGTTTATCTTTGAGTAGCCAGTTTTTTTCGATTTCGTTATGCTAGAACTTCAGGACTATCAAGACTTTTCAATTAAAAATTGGTATGAGACTTTCAAACATGTTTCCTTGAAAACTATAATAGTTGATTTACCTGATCAATTACTAAAGAAGATTCAGTGTAATGAAATTAGTGACCATTCTGAGGACGAAACAGAGAATTCCGAAGGTGAAGCTGATATTGAGAAAGATTTATCTGGCTTCTTAGAACAATTCAATAATGCCCTGAATACTCTCAATAGAGCAGTTTTTGTAAAAAATAACTGGCATGCACCACTGGACGCTAGAATGTTCAGTTTTGGAAACATTTTGAAGGCTTTAGATCTGGATGATGTTATGCTATACTTCACCAACTCTATTGTGATACAAAAAGACTTTGCCAATGCCAAAAATGCCCCTTTCTGCATAGCATTGAGACAGTGGATTAGTATACATCCTGCTTCCGAATTCCGATGTATTGTAGTGAACAATATACTAAGGGGCATAACACCAAGAGATTGGCCTGCTTACTATGCGCACTTCAAGGATGATGGACCTCAGATAATAGAAGGTTTATCAAACTTTTATAATGTTAATATCAAATTGAAGTTTTTTCGAAAAAGTTTCATTTTTGACGTGGTTTTTCAATATCCAGATGCCCCAATAATTGTTGATTTTGGACCACTGAATTCAAAAACAAATTTGTATGCATTTACTTGGAAAGAAATACAGCCATTGATGAGTAAAGAAGTTCCAGAGGATGTGGCACCAGTTTTCCGATATTTAGAATCTGACATTGGAATCATAGAAAAAGATAAATAAAATGTGAAAGAAATAACATGTTTTTCATAAAAGACTACATATTTCATATAGCGAATGTCCCAGAACCAAACTCAACTCATATCTTATTGTCATATTGTTACAAATTTTGAGTGGTAGTGGTTTCTCAGGGGTAGCCTTTCAGGGAAACACCAGAGTACTTAAATACTGGGTGTCTTGCCTAGGAGTTTTACATGAGGGACCATCCACAATCTAGTCTTTACCAACAACTGTCTTATATATTTCAACATCATCAAAATTGTCAAATCAAAGAATCAGCTACCGCAATACCCTCTCACTTTGCACTCTTCATGTTGGTCATAGTGACGTTATGTTGTGTCATTGCTGCTAGACTAAGTCCTTCACTGCCTTAGATCATTATCTCACAATATTTTTTGGTATCATAAAACTAAATACTAATTTACTCAAAACTTAGTCAGCCAATGAGCTTTATTCTTGCATCTTGGATCTCTTCATTTAGAGAATGATAGTAAATACAACATCATGGGGTGTTTGATTCTGAAGAATAATGAAATCTTTGGTTCATGTCTGCAAATAGATGGTAGGTTTGCATGGAACTCTGATTTATTTCAAATCTACAAAGTAGATACGGAAGGGATGGGAAAGAAATTTTCCTTTTTTTTGCAGCTGAGCAGGTTGCACTTGGAGTCTTGCAACATTTCTAACGTCTAAATATCACAGCTCTCGTCTCTAATTCATAATACATGCAACTAATATATTCTTGGGAAGTCTAGTAGTCTTTCAAGTCAATAATTACTAAATACAGCACCAATAACATTGAGGATACACTAAAAACACACTTTTGTCTATTTTCCACTATATTTCTTTATTGTTGACCGGTTTCGGCTATTACACCATTTTCAAAACTAACTGATTACATTCAAATCTGAGTAATTTATACCCATGCTGCTTATTCTATCATAAATGATTTGATATACCTGATACCCGGTACCTGCGTTTCATATACCTGTAAAATCCATGAACATAACAAAGCTTTCAATATAATGTTGGTTTTGGGATCTGGGTTATAGGTTCAGGAGAGGACTATTATTTAAATCAAGTTGTTCGTTTAATCAATAATGAAAGAACTATACTCAATTTCAACAAGACCAGAACACAAATATGTTAGTATCAATTATGCTGGTAGAATCTCCGAGAATATTGAAAATTATCTCTCAAAATTCAATTCACAAACATCCTACACATCCAACGGAAATTTAGGAAACATATTATTTAATGCCAAACCTAAATTAGAGAAAGGGAAGAGATCTGGTATTTATCGAATAGAATGTGGTGAATGCCCCGCCATATATACAGGCCAAACTGGGAGAAATTTTGATACAAGGTACCACGAACATGTCATTTCGGATAAAAAATCATCAATGTACGAACATTTTCAAAATTCGAAACATAAAATAGATAAAGATAATTCAAAGATCCTACACACATGCGAAAAAGGGAAAATGATGAATCTGTTGGAATCTATGGAAATAAACAGGTCAAAGAAAAATCCCAATTCTATTGTCCTCAACGAACAACTTGATTTAAATAATAGTCCTCTCCTGGTCGAGGTGTAAAAATAACGATTTGGTGTTGGGAAAAAACTCCAGTAATATTCAACATAGGTATAAATTACTCAGATTTAAATGTAATCAGTTAGTTTTGAAAATGGTGTAATAGCCGAAACCGGTCAACAATAAAGAAATATAGTGGAAAATAGACAAAAGTGTGTTTTTAGTGTATCCTCAGTGAACATGAATTTCCACAAAATAAACAAGTCGTCAATCGAAGAAGACCAATAACATTAATGTGTAACAATTCAACTTAGTATGTTCGGTGTGTGACATTAACGTGACTTTTCTTGAGTTCATGTATACCTCAAAGAATTTATAGATGAATTGAATGTGTTTTATATTTTGTTTTATATTTATTGATGTCTTATATTGTATTCAATTTACCTTTATACATTTTCTGCCCCTTGGAAATAAAATTGGTAGTAAGTATGTATTTAAATCCAAGACAGAGTCAGATTTTAGCCTCTGAAATGATGAGATAAATATCTATATAACTTCTTAGCTTTTTTTTGATAGGCAAAATTCTTAAATACATGTTACTGATAACTAGAACTTTTTTTTTTGTGAAAAATACTTTAAAGTTACACAGTACCCAATTGGGGTAAACTAAAAGTTTGCCTTCTCTACAACTGTATAAAGTTTTCCATTACAATTTTCATATTTTTTCAGATTGTGGAAGGTGTGAATACCCAATATGTGAAAAAAAGTATTTTCTTTTCATATGTGCGTTATGATATAACTGAAAAAGAATTTTCTGCTAGGAATACAGCGTGCATCAATGATGTGTGGGTGTTTTAATTGAAAAAAGTCATTCCTAGTTTTGAATACTGATGTATGAAAAAAGTGCCACTCTGAAAAGTTATTGATAGGAATTGAAAATACACTATTCTGAGGATATTTGGTTGAACAATTTTTTCATTCCATTTGATTGAGTAGGATAAAAAAAATCATCAGAGCTATGAATAAAACTCACCCTTCAGAATCTTGTAAGCCATTATTCCGAAATTCTAAAATACTAACGCTACCCTGCCTCTACATGTTGAACCTGATGTTTTTTAAGGACAATGAAAAAACATTTCTGAAGAATGACCAAATACATGCACATGATACAAGGAATAAGGAAAATATTCATCTGCCTTTTTCCAGGCTTTTCATTGATCAAAATTCCCCAAAATATGTTGGTGTAAAATGTTTCAATAAGATGAAAAATTTATAACACTGAATAGTGTCACACTATATTCCATTTTGTCCATCCCTATTTATGTTTGTATTCCGAGCATTCCTTATGCAATTATAACGGATATTATTCACAGGAATGATACACAACTTGATATATGAAAGAGTATTGAGGTAAAAATTATACTTACATGGAATAATATCATTCCCTCCCTAGGTGTACCTCTACACTTGTCTTCAACTCCTCATCACCATCTTTTTGAATACCTACCTTTAAAGGCAAAACATTCACTTTTGTATAAGATTACGACTTTGAAAAATATTCCCTTTTCAATGTAAACGAAATTTTTATGATTGGGATATTATCCAACTGATTTGAACCCTTGAAAAACAGTACAGTATAGTGAGAAAATTCAATAAATTTATTATTATTGTATTTTGAATGTGACAATGCATTTTTTTCACATGTGAATAACATTTCAACATAAAAAATTTAGCATTTTAATTAAACTACACTTACACAACTAAAAGTAGAGTAATTTCAAACTTAGCGAGAAATTGAAGGCAATTAAGAATTTTTGAGAACATATTTGTTGATAAAACTAGTGGTTTTAGATACATCTATGGATGATTCAAATAATTCACTTTCACAATGTTGAATTTATCAGCAAATAAACATACTGATTTACGCATATTTTTTATCTTTACTTATTAAGGAGCTCTTAAGTTGTTACTTTTTATGTCTACTCTTTTATAAACTTTTACTCTTTTATATATACATATCTTTTATATCCTCCATTTTAACATAGTGTACCCATGCACTATTTACATTTTTATTTTAATTTCAGTTGGTATGTATTGCATTTTTTTAAGTATGTACTAAACAAGCTTTGTCTACAAGAGCATGTCTTATGATAATAAAGCATATTATTATTTTTTTTATAGATAATACCTATCTAGTAATATGATAGTAATATTCTTTGAAAAGACATTTTTTGCATTGGACTCAATTCTCTGATTACTGTTATTTTTTTAGGTATATAACCTTCCACAATCTAAGAAAAATAAATATTGTTTGAAAAAACTAAAAAACACGCTTTCAAAGAACATTGAACTAAAGAGTTAAAAATACCTTTTTTAAAATAAGTTTAAAACAATAACGAACGAAAAATACTAGTATTATTGTGATAAAAGCGACGGGCGCTTGATATTCAAAAAATATGGCACAAAACACCCACGCTTTTTTCACAATAATACTAGTATTTTTCTTCGTTATTGTTTTAAGCTTATTTAAAAAAAATATTTTGAACTTTATAGTTCAATGTTCTTCAAAAGCGTGTTTTATAGTCTTTGTAAACTATATTTATTTTATCTAAACTTTGGGATCAATCAGCCGCATATTGTTTATAAAAATTACCATCGATATTTTCCGATTCCGGAGAGGGAGCCTGAAAATCAGCTACCAGGCCCAGGGAAGGCAGCAGGCGCGCGTTAATAAAAAAATACTTTTTTCAAATTAAGAAATACATGTAAAGTGAGTTCGAATTATATTAATGTGGTTACGTACAGCGCCATCTGCCCGCGAATAGATCAAGCAATAATGCCGATAATTCTGTCGAATACAGGTCCCGAGCTTGAGAATTACAAACTAACAAACATACATACAGGTGAAGCTAATGAAAGCGTGTTAATTAAAAACAAACAAAGCTAAATCAGTTTGCTCTTTATAACATTTCAGAAAATTCCCTATTGATTTAACTTTGCTTATTTTCCAGACCGTGGAAGGTTATATATAAAAACCAGTAATAAGAAATGAAGGCAAGCTCTAAAATGACAACTTTTTCCTAATTTGACTGACTCTCACGGTTTCCAATTTTCTCATTCTGACCCTTCTTATACAGTGGTTACAGATCACAAACATGCATAATAAAACTAAAAAAAAGATATGAGACAAATTCATCTTATGAATAATCAATTAAAAAATTTAGTTGGATAAACCGCTCATAATAATAGTATAATATGGAATAAAAACGGAATAGAGAAAAGTGTTTTTTATATTAAGTGTTCATATAAAAGTATTTGTTTCAAAAGTATGTTTCTTTCATGAAAGTAGCTGTTTTGAGAAGGCTTTTTCTTCCAGTTTGTGTCTGAAAATTATTTCTTTGCATGATCTACACATCTATGTATATAGTTAATTTTTGAAAATGATTGCTTCTTCCCTTCTTTGGAAGATTTCCATATTTTTTTATATCAAAAACCTTAAGAACATATAGCACATGAGATTCGTGAGCCTTTATCATATATAATGAATCTATGTTTTTCAACGGGTATAACCTTTCTGGAAGGTAATAATCTTCTGTCTGATACACAAAATGGTTTCAGGAAAAAGAAATCAACCATTAGAGCAACCTCTCAGGCTTTATGTAACATAATAAATTCCATCAACAAAAATAAAATTACAACAGCTGTTAATTTGGACCCGTCAAAAGTTGTCAAATTATGGTATATGAGGTTTGCCTCTCAAATTAATAAAATCATATCTGGAAAATAGAAGGCAGTGCGTGATTTAAAGAGATCAAATAAACGGCGAATAAATAACATAAATCAAAGAGACAATAATCAGAGGGGTACCCCAAGAGTCAATCTTGGGTCCTTTACTCTATATATTATATACTAATAACGTATCAGACGCTGTGATTGAATTTATGGTGCAATATGCTGATGATTGCTCTGTGATTTTTAGTTCAGATGATGCTTCTTCTGAAAAAAACCAATCTTTTCATCCCTGAACCTGCTAGAAGACTACTTTTCAGCCCATAATCTAAAATTAAATACCAATAAAATGCATGCCATAACGTTTACACGAAATGGTACTAGTAGTGTTTGTAATCTCAGTAATGGATCAACAACATTTGTATCTTCTCCTCAATTGTCTTTTCTGGGCTTAACAATTGACTCAAAATTGAACTGGAAGAGTCATATAAATAATATTGCAACAACTTTATCAAGATACTGTTTTTCAAGAGATCAAAACGAAAAATGAATTGGGAGAGATGAATATTTCGAGATTTTATTTCAAATATTTATTTTCTAGTACATATATATCTCTCTCAATACAGTCTTCAGACATGGTTTGGATCTCTGCTGCACTTCACTGATACACATAACCTCACGAAAATAAAACAACAATCCTTCAAATAAAATTCCTTGAATGCCAAAAATGTATATGTTATCCAGAAACCTCAAAATCATAATCAAAACTCTTTTGTGTAATAAGGGACTTTCAATCAAAACGGAAACATTCTGAATTTCAATGAAATCGAAAGGAATATGCGGCATATTGATGATGTATCTAGCCACAAGTAGGTCAGCTTTTTCTTTAAGGACAAATCACAAGCACTACAGAAAAATCCTTGAGGCGCTCTCAGAGCGGTGCCTATGCGAAAGTAGCGATTCACATTGAATTTGAAGCATTGTTGACAAATATGACGAGTCATTTTCGCACTCTGTTTATATATTCGAACATTGTACTTTCAAACAAATGTTCTTGCTGAAATTGAAATTTCTCGTTATTCAGGTTAATTTGACAATTTATTTTTTTTCTTATATTCAGCTGAGAATAATTTAGGAAATGGTCTATACCAATACCACTCAACCTAAAAATTTTCTCAGATAAATGTCCCTTTTTTAAATTCAAATTTTGTTATTTTCGAGCAATGCCAATCGAGCAATCAGCAAGAGATCATGCTTTTATGGCATTGTTAAATAACAAAGATTTCATGAAAAAATGAAAATTTCCTGATGAAATTTTATGGTATTGTGGTTTTACTATTGATAAATACTACTGAGAAGACCAGGTTAAAGCCTGATCTAGGATAGATTATATTGAAAAATAATACAAAAACTTGAAATTAAATGATATATTTGTGCATATAAATATAAAATGATAAAAATCTTGAAAAGCTTGAATATGGAAAACATTATATAATTTTGAATTTGTAACTGTGTTGTAAAAATACATGTTTGGATTTTTTGCACAATACAATATGTAAAAAAATACAACAATGAACCATAGATTGAAAACCTTTCAATATCCATATTCTACTACAATTAATTACAAAAGGGTACAAATAAAATAGATTAAATTTGTATAAATTAAATACAAGTGATAAAATGTGAATTTTAAAGCTGCATATAGTTTTTACAATACTGTCTAATCTTTGGCTTATATGGCAAAAAGTCAACTTCCTTACATAATTATATGAAGCAATTTTTCAAAGATTTAAAGACACCTAACTAGTAAAATAGGTGTTTAGCTACACATTGAATAGGAACCATTGAAGAACTTCATTTTTATTTTTTTTATAACTTAAACAATATTTTGAGGATAGTTACATCAGGTTGTCTAGCATAAAATTTTAGATGCAAAGTAATCTATTGATACTCCAAGGTTTTTGTCTTAAAATACAGTTTATCGATGAAATGATGCAACTAAATGTTCATCAAAGTATTTTTATGAATATATTATGCCAATGACAAAAGTAATTAAAATTTCCAGGAAACCTTTACGATGAATCAAATAAACTTACAGTTGTCAAAATGAGTAATTACATGTATACATAAATCTGTTGAACCTTTATCAACTCGGTGCATTATGAACTGTTGTCTCCCCAGTTAACGTATCAGTTAGGTAACTAATTTTCAAATTACGCGCTAAATGCTGCTTTTCTATTGGACTATTTACACTCCAAGCAATTACTCTCACACCTTTGTCTCGCCAATCCAAAATTACTTCGCTGAAAAAAAAAACTAGATTAATTTAATAACAAACAAACTGTTGAATATTACTGGAGTTTTTTCCCCAACGCCAAAGCGTTATTTTAACACCTCGACACGAGTTTGGACCACCATGTGATCATCTTCAAGAGGAAGATCAAACTCACAACAAACAAACTCATAACAAACAAACTGTTGGAAACATTTTCCTTTAAGTTATTTCTTAACTTAGCTAGAGCTGAGAATTTTATTATTACATAAATAACAAAACTGGATCTCAAAGATTGAGTTATTTGGAAAACTTTAGACGACTTCTTATAGGGGTAAAAAATATTTTGGCTTTCTACTTCACCATTTTTATACAAAGAAATGAAGTAACAGATCAATTCCAGAAATTTAACTCTATAGTTCATGTATTGAGTTTATTTTGGAATGAATTTATTCTTTGCTTTGGAAGATTCCCACATTTTTCTGTATAAAGATGGTGAAATAGAAAGACAAAACATTTCTTTCCCAAAAAATACCCTCTTCTAAAAATATACCCCTTTCAATTTATACTTCATTTATCAATATACATGGCGAGTAAGGTCGAAGACATCTTACCTTACGAAGACGCCATCTATGAGATCGACACAGAACTAAATCCCCGGATATCAAAGATAGACAATCGATCACCAACGAGATTCGTACTGTTTTTCACTATAGCTTACACTGCAAGTCAACAAATGTATATAATATGTTTATGTTTAATATCAATATGTTAGATCCCAGTTCAAATAACTCAAGAGAGGTTTCAGACGGTATTAGAAATATTTAATTTCAGGCAGGCAAGAATTACGGGACATCTTCTTCACTGCTAGACTTAATAATTACAAATATTGATAAAGTTTATGAAATTAATGTTATACACAATGATCTTTCAGATCATGCATTGACAGAGGCCCAATTTTCCTTTTGAAATTGAACCCAAGATAAAAAACTAATAGATAACTTATAGAAACATTAGCCCCATATTGATATTGACAGATTCAGTGATGATTTAATAAACCAACCTTGGCATTTACTATTTGAAATTGTAGATATAGATGTTGAATTGAATCTTCTCATGAATTATTTCATTGCGAAAACTTTTGATTATCATTCACCAAAAAAACTATTTTTTTGAAGAAACAAAATTACACTCCTTGGATCACTGAGAACATAAGACTGATGCAGAAATTGAGAGACAAAGCATTAACTCGATTCAAGAAGTCAAAACTAGCACTCCAATGGGATTACTATAAACAGCAGGAATTATACTAATACAGCTATACATTACGAGAAAAGGGCATACTTAAACTACAAACTACGTAATACTGATAGTATTACGCACTCAAGCCGCCCATAAGAAATACTGAACTACACATACACGGGCATTCACGAAAGTGAATGCCCGTGTACGGGCATTCACTTTCGTGAATGCCCGTACACGTCCGTTGTTATGAGTTCCCTTCAAACTGGTAATATCTCAGTAAATACTTTTTCAGTTTGATCAAAATAAGCACCATTTGCATCATTGTACTTTTGTCATTGATACACAAATCGATTGAATCCGTCTACATAACGGTGCTTGGGATTCGATGAAATCGACGAAGGCCAAGTTTGTCTGATCCTGATTGGCAAAGGTTTTATCGGTGAAAAAGTTATGGAAGTGCTTGAAAAGATGGTAATCGGTTGGCAAGAGGTTTGGGGAGTATGGTGGGCAAAGCAGAACTTCAACGCCCAATTAGTTTAATTTTCGAGCGGTGATTTATGAAACGTGAGGACGGGAGTTGTCGTGGAGCAGAATCGGAGCTTTTCTGTTGACCACAGTAGCACTCTGCTGTAATGGTTTGAACTGGTTGCAGAAAGTTATTAGTGAATAACACCATCCGCTAACTCCCATACAGTAACTGTATTGGGTTATGGCCTTTGGGAAGTGCCTGGGTGGCTCACCTGTGTCCAACCACTGCCCTGAATCTTCTGTTGTCGTAGAGGATTCACTTTTCATCACACTTGAGAATCCAATCCAGAAATTAGTCTTTTTGTTTGCACAGAAGTAAAGAATAACAGAACTCGAAAAATGACAATTTCTGTTGATCGTTCAAAACGTAGGGCACCCACATTTCGAGCTTTTTGACCTTTCTACGCCATCCCACACAAACGCTGTGTGGGATGGCAGAACAAAATCTTGAAAACTGACGTCGAACGGTGAGTTTATTGACACTTTTATGAGTGTCATAGTAAATTTTTAGATAAATTTGAAGAGTGGTGTGAAGATTAGTTCACAATCAACAAAAAATATATTTTAATAGGTGATATAAATATAGATTTCTTGGGCAATGGCTTCTACAGCAAAAAAATTAAAAATATTATTACAGCTTACGGAATTGAACAACTCGTTGATGAGCCAACAAGAATAACTTCAACTAGTTCTTCTTTAATTGATTATGTGCTATCAAATGAAAATAATGTGAAAGTTTGTATACATCATGAACCAGTAATTACAGATCACTTTATAATAACCGTAAACTTACACAACAAAGATCAAAGAGTGAGTAATACATTTTTTACGCGAAGACTAAATGATGACGTTTTTCATAAAATTAATTTGAAACTAATTGAATGTGATTGGTTGAAAGGGTCTAATGATGTGAATGAAATATACAGTAATATTGAGTGGAACTGTGAAATACTATTTAATGATATTGCGCCAATAGTTGAAATTGAGAATAAATCAAATCAAGTCCCCTGGTATGATGACGAAATCAGATCTGCTTCGAAACTTAGAGACAGGGCTTACAAAGAATTCATTAAAAGTTCCGGCATTGAGAAGGAGGAGTCCTGGAAGCGATATAAACTGAGACGGAATCAAGTTGTATGTTAAAAATCAAAAGGTCTCAATACTATGAAAACAAAATTGATGCGAATAGTGATAACTTGCGGGAAATGTGAAAAACAATGAAAATATTGATAAAAAGTGACGAACAACCATTAAATTTCAAATTTATCAATTTTAGTACTAATGGCGCTGTCGTCAAAGCGAGAACGGAGCTACAAGCTGCTAACAACTTCAATTCATTTTTTGTTAAAAGCATTGAAGATATCTCCAATTCTATTGTAAGTGTAAAACAATGGTGTCCTCAAAATCTAAATAATATAGAAACGAGATTTAGTGAATTCGAGAAGATTGATATAAGTAAGCTGAAGTCAATTTTTTTTTTCTCAAAAATAAAGGCAATGCTGATGAAGTGATGTCTGCTACATTTTTGAAATCAACATTTTTTACACTTGAATTTCATATCCTAAACTTAATACAAACATCAATGTCGTCCGGTAACTTTACAAATATGTTGAAAAAAAGTACAGTTATTCCCATCCCAAAAATAAATAATTCAGTTGAAATGTCAGACTTCAGAGCAATAAATATTTTGCCGGTTATTGAGAAAGTTTTGGAAATTGTTGTACATGAACAAATTACTAGGTACTTTACTGAAAATAACCTGTTAATAGGAAATCAATCCGGATTTAGAGAACACCACTCGTGTGAAATTACCCTTCAATTAACAGTTTCAAAATGGAAGAATGAAATTGATAGTGATGAATTTATAGTAGCAGTGTTCCTTGATTTCAAGAGGGCATTTGAAACTATCGATAGGCAAATATTACTTCGTAAACTGAGATATTATGGAATCGATGGAATAGCCAAGGTTATGATTTTTTGAATTTATTTGCAGATGACACGTTACTTGCATGCTATGGATATGACGCTGTAGAAACAGTGGAGCGCATGAATTGATTGTTGAAAAAAATTGAAATATATTTAAACGAAAATGAACTAAAAATTAATGCGAATAAAACCAAATAAATGATAATTAGTAAGAAACATAAACTGAAATCAATTGACTATGAAAAGTTTCAACTCAAAGTGGAGGGAGACAAAATTGAATGGGTGTCAGAATTCAATGCACACTGTGACTATATTTGTAAAAAGATATCAAAAAAACTATTTTTTTCTCCAGGATTTCATCAGAAGTTTCCATGTTTTCAAAAATAACAATATACAGAACCATTATACAGCCCCATTTTGATTATTGTTCCACTCTGCTTTATCTTTTAGATAAAAACAATATACAGAAGTTACAGAAA